AGAAAAATTCAGGCATAATTTGTCAGTATTCTTATGAAAGTGTGTTTTTCTCAAAGGCCCCGAGCTTATCTCCCTTATTACAGGTAGATAAATCGGAAAATGTAAAGATGAGTGTCTGTGTTAGCGTAACAAAGATATTGAGATAGAGAGAGACAGAGGGAATGGATAATTGAGACCCAGATGTATATAGACCGGATAGGTTCCATATCGACAGTTCTTTTTTTTTCTTGTATATATATATACACTCACATATTTATTCTCTTTTTATTACTTATAACATGGTATCACATTCTAAGGTAGCCATTGTTGGTGCCGGTGCCGTAGGAGCATCCACAGCCTATGCTCTCATGTTTAAAAACATTTGCTCAGAGATTCTTATTGTCGATATCAATCCCGAAATTGTTCAAGCACAGGTACTTGATTTAGCGGATGCAGCAAGCGTAAGTCATACGCCAATTCGAGGGGCAAGCACTGAAGAAGCTGGTCAAGCAGACATCATTGTCATCACTGCCGGTGCTAAGCAAAAGGAGGACGAGCCGCGTACACAACTAATCGAACGTAACTATCGTGTGTTGAAGAACATTATTGGTAGTATGCAACCTATTCGGCCAGATGCTATCATACTGTTGGTTGCTAATCCAGTCGACATATTGACACATATCGCTCAAAGATTATCTGGGCTGGAACCCAACCAGGTAATTGGCTCTGGTACCTACCTTGATACAACACGACTTTGTGTTCACCTTGGTGAGATATTTGATGTTAATCCGCAGTCGATCAATGCTTTCGTCCTGGGAGAACATGGTGATTCACAGATGATTGCTTGGGAAGCAGCTACGATCGGAGGACAGCCACTGACGTCTTTTCCAGAGTTTCAAGAACTTGATAAACAAGCCATTTCTAGAGCAATATCCGGTAAGGCGATGGAAATCATTCGATTAAAGGGTGCAACATTTTACGGTATTGGCGCTTGTGCTGCAGACTTGGTTCATACCATCATGCTGAATAAAAAGTCAGTGCATCCGGTATCAGTTTATGTAGAAAAGTATGGGGTCACATTCTCTATGCCGGCTAAGCTTGGTTGGAAGGGAGTAGAAAAGATATATGAGATTCCATTAAGTGAAGAAGAGGAGACGTTGCTTTTAGAGTCTGTAAAGGCGCTCCAAGAGATAGAACGCTTATATTGACTAGAAAAGAAGAAGGTACACTTGTGCTCTATATCTTGACTAAAAGAAATAAACCAATAATGTGTTTTGTTACAATTTGATTTTCTATCATTATGTCAACATGTTATTAAAATATGATGACGCATACATATTAAGCCTATTTTAGCGAGTAAAATAGATTTAATTAAACGTTTTTATGATAAAACTGCTCTTGTAGGAAAAAAAAAGTATGATGCAAAAGGGTCTGTCCTCTCTCTTCAACTACGTGTGACTACGAAATCTGTAAGTCTGAGGTTAATTTTGATTACTCTGAAAAAAAAAAAAAAAAAAAAAAAAAAAACCACTGTCTGAATTTAAAGTGAAAAACCGTAAAAGAAAAATATTTCTACAAATGAAAGGTCCTATTCTTTTTTGATTCTCCTTTTTTAGTACAAAATGCTGTCAAATACAGAAAAGAAGACAACGACAAAACCATTGCCACCTCCTTCAGTTTTATTTGGAAATAAAAATAATTATTACTATGACAATAATAATAGTAATAATATGGAGCATAGATCAGATTATATATTACCTCCACCTTCAAGTCTACCTGGTTATCATTTACCTCCACCTCCACCATTGCCATACTACTATCATCACCCACAAAAATCATATTCACCATCATCTTCAACATCATCAGCATCATCACCATCAAAGCCAGCAACTAAAAGAAAAAGACGTCAAAATGTAGAAAAGAAATCATATCACTATGAAGTATTAGACATTAAACAGCAAAAAAAGAAAACTAAAAAACAAAAAAAGGAATCAGAAGCTATTTCTGCTGCTGCAGCTACTTTAGCATCGTTTGCATCTGCTACGCCATCACCAATAACCTCTTGTGATGAGGAAGAGGATGATGTAGAAGAAATAGAGGATGAATGTGTCCATCTAGAATCATGTGCAGGACAAGGCAATCAATACAAGTGTGATGCTTGTAACCTAACTTATAAGCACTTGAATTGTTTACAAAGACACGGTTGGGAATTTCATCATACTTCAACTATGCCAAAACAACAAAAGACTCAATTGTTAGAGGTAAATATACGCACATTCATTTCTATGCTCTTTATACTTAGCGTTTTCTTTAGGCTGCACAAATCTTGATGGATATTGCACGTTACAGCATGAGGATGCACGTCTTGGAATAAATAAATAAAATTTTTTTAAAAGTCCGTGTGTTTTTATTTCAATCAATTTGAAGTTGATTTTTGATAAAGTGTTTAGAAACCACTACTGTTTAAAACACATAATTCGAGTCTATACAATAGATGGACATTTTCTACACGGGCTAAGTTTGCAACGAACTCAACCTCTCAGCTAGAGATGATATAAAACTTTCCCTGATATAAAGATTTAACATAATACTGTTATTATAATAGTGCCTCTTGGAGATGGTAGACAACTATAAGAGGGTATCTCAGACGGGCCGACATCGTGTTACAACTCAGTTGTACAGACAAGAAAACAAAAGACATGGGAATTCGTTCATAGACGAATCTTGTAAGTGAGTAGATGATCACTAGTCAGCTCATATATACTTTTTGATGCAGTGTCTTGATACGGTGCTGCTAGATACTAAACAGACACGCATGCATCGCAAGTAACACAATGACGCTCTCTTTCCTTTTTTCTGAGTTTATTTATCTTAAAAGTATAAATTAAACATTTTTTCCTGCATTTATTTCGTTCAACAGTCAACAGACTTTCTTTTTACAGGTATTCTGTGATCTCAGTATTTACACTGGTTGGATCCCGTCGTAAACTACCCACGCCATCAACAGGAAACTCATCCGAGCAATTTGCCCAAGAACGCCTATCAAAATGTTGTTAAGTCGCTCATTGCTGTTACAGATTCAGTAAGCGTTCGTCTTTAACAAGAGATGCGATGAGTAGCTTCGCCTTGCCAGTTTCTCCGTATACCCTATTATATTGGATCAACTGCGAGACTTTCTTAAGCTCAGAGGGGATACCATTGATAGTGACTTTGCGAGTAAAGTTTGGACTGCTAAAAGGGAAGTAGGAGATGTCGCTTGTGATAAGAAAAAGCGCCACGTTTTTCGATTTGTTGCTTTGAATCTTACGGATTTTTTACTCATGTATTTCCAGACTATGTTTCGGGTGAACTATGAACGAAACTACTGGGTGGAACACATGGTTCCTTTGTTCATGTAATTTTCTCATGTATGTGATTAATAGGTGCGAGAGGACCTTCTGAAAGCTACACGCAAAAGTCAGCGTATTATGAGTGTCTGAACCAATAGCATTGGGAAAGTTGGAGGAAAAGAAAAGCTTGTGATGGAGATGTCATCTGATTTTTCAGGACACAAAGAAGCTGATGGGTGAAATGACATCAACGGTGAAGGCAGATCTATTTACAAAGCATGCCTCTACCATTCGTCTTGTTGTCTTTGGTGTTTAGTGTGTCGAAGCTCGTTTGAATTTACTCAAAACGACGCTCAGTCAAAAATGCAGATAACAAGCATTGTAACTGCTCTCGCCCGAATTGCCTGTTATGTAATAGCAGAATAAGGCTCATTACCCGCCTTTATTCTGAGATAAGACAGAAGGAACATACAAATGAACAAGTGTTCTACCATTTATATTTGTAAGCGTAGATTATAATTACTGCGGTTTTAATTCGCTTCTGGCACTAATATTGTTGTTCTCTTGACAATCTGAGCAATAGGAGATAATCACAAGAAAGATTTAAAGGTTAAGATAAAAAGCGCTTGAAGCGTGCAAATAATATGTGTGTTATTCTTTCGGTTTCTGGATGAAGATGCTTTTCAGTAATAAGTCCTCTTTTGAAGTCGATAAGAGTTATTACCGAACTTGCGTCTGGAGAAAACCCAGAAAATAGCACTAGCCTGAATGCCTAGCACTAACTTCCAAGTGCGGTAACCTCTCGGTAATGACAATAGATAACCCAGCCTTACTCAAGAATAGAGCCTCTGCCTCATGGTTACAGAGTAGCTAAATGATGAAATAGAAAACACAAACTGATTAAAAAGCGTTGACCATATTTATTTTATGTATCCCTCAAAAATATAAAGCTTATTTTATGTATTATTACATGTTGTCTTTTAAGCAATAAAGAAGACATAGAAAATCAATTAAAGTGTTAATTGCTATTGATTTTGTAATGTGTGCGAATAATTTCTGAAAAAGTATATAATATGGGCCTTCTAAAACACCAGCAAGGACTTACGTTGTCTACCTTTGAGATTATATATTAGATCGACTATTAATGATGATCGTCATAGCAACATTGACACGGCGATGATATGAGCTTGCTCTATAAGCTTGATATTAGCTAGTTGAAATGATAATATGACGAAACACGACAGAACGACCTCAAGTAAGCACATAGCTGTATTCATCTCATATCAATTCACTCCTAAATGACATAACCGTATTATTAAGAGATCTATTCCGCTTGCATATGCTAATCCCTCAGAGTTCTAATGATCTTTGTCATCATAGTTCCTAATGTCACACATCAATTTCTTCGATTCACGGATAAAGGCATAAAAGAAAAAAGAAAACATGAAAAGGGCACAAAAAGAACTGCTACAAATGTTGTAATTTGAACCAGGGCTGTGAGAAGAGTAAAGAGAATAGATAGACATCTTTTGTCAAAGAATTTGCTTTTACATAATAGCGACAGTATAAGCTATCGGTATATCCGAGATATTGATTAAAGAGGTATACATTATGTTCTGCATTGTGCTTTAAATGGGGTTACAAAGCAATGCAACCATTGCATGGGCCATATCCCCTTGCTAGGCCGAGCATCTGCAACTAACACGAGTGAGTATCGAGTATAAAACGTAGACAGTTTACAACGCGCGATGGCCCCCTTTTTTCCATTTCACTCCTCCTTTGCTTAGTTAATATATAGATTTCTTTATTTTTCGGCAAAAAATAAGGCATTTCATGTCATTTCAAGGTAGCATCAACAAAGAAGAAACAGCATACTGTAGAAATGAAAAAGAAGATGATGAAAAATCACTGAAAAATAAAGATCTCTGGATCAGCAATCCAAAGGAACCAAAGACAGACGATGAAAGTGGACCAAGCGAAGAGGAACATTACTTTGATTCTGATGAAACTGATGTTGCAATTGTAAATGATATAGCCGTGATCAACGACAACCCTGATCTACCAGTCTTGACAGTTCGCTCTATTATCACTGGGTTGGTAAATAGTTATATGATTCATGTAATAAGCATGTATTTGATAAGATACACCATAGATTCTGTCCATCCTCTCTTCATCTGTTTCGCAGCTGATGCAGTTCAAACCAGTAGGCAGCACATTAACCAATACATTTCTGCTGATTGTAGCCTATCTAATCTGTTCTGCCTGGGCCAAATGGTTACCACAGCACACTTGGTTAAACCCTGGCCCGTTCAACTATAAGGAGCACACGTGTATCTACATCATGGTTTCATCTGCCAATACCTCAGCCTATGGCACACTGGTGCTATCCACTCAACAGCTATTTTACTCTAACACACCAGGTCCAGCTGGCTCTATCTTCTTTTTACTCGCTACTCAGCTTGTAGGCTACGGCATCGCTGGGCAACTAAGGCCATTCTTGGTATATCCATCCAACCTTATCTGGCCAACATCTCTTCCTCTTGTTTCCGTTTTGAACACTTTTAGTGCAAAAAGTGAAGAAGCCAGATGGCGTACACGATTTTTTTTTATTGTTTTCTTTGCCATATTTGTCTATGAACTCATACCTCAATACATGTTTCCCCTTCTTGGTGGCCTTTCGATTGTATGCATTGCTAGACAAGATAGTAGATGGGTGAAGAATCTTTTTGGTGGTCTAAACCCCAATGAAGGTTTGGGCATGTTCTCGTTTTGTTTCGATTGGAACCTTCTGTCTAGTATCAGCCCTCTCGTGCTTCCCTTCTGGGTGCAAATGAACATTCTTACTGGTATTCTTCTTCTTTGGTTAATCGGTCCGCTGGCCTACTACTTTAATGTATGGAACGCTCAGAGCTTCCCATTTTTATCTAATAGTATATTCCGACTATTTCCTAACGGCACTGCAGAATATTACCCACAGGGGCAAGTGCTCAATAGTGACAATACGGTGAATCAGACAGCCTTGGCTGAAGTTGGTATACCAGTATACTCTACTATTTATGCCATTAGCTACGTAGTCGTCAACATGACCCTTACTGCGACCATATCTCATGTTTTTTTATTTTATGGAAAGCAAATTTATGAAACCTTCCGTATCCTCAGGACCAAGCTTTCTACTGGGGACCTTGACATACATATGAAGCTAATGAAGAACTATCCTGAGGTCCCTCAATGGTGGTACTATGGTGTCTTTATGGCAGGAATTGCAGTAAATATAGGTGTTGCCTATGCTAATCACAGTGGTTTCCCTTGGTGGGGATGTATTCTTGCAATCGGTCTCTCTGCCATACTTTCTCTTCCGTTAAACATGATTACTGCCATTACAGGGGGCGGCATTGGACTAAACGTCTTTGCAGAAATGATTGGAGGTTTTGTATTGCCTGGCCATCCAATTGCAAACATGTACTTCAAGACACTCGGCTACAATACTCTCTCACAAGCTGGTGCAATGGCCAGTGATTTAAAGATTGGCCATTACATGAAAGTGCCTCCTAGAATGACATTCTTATATCAAATGCTCGGCACAACTATCGGCGCTATTTTCAACTATGTTATCAATAAGCTTATTGTTGAAAGCAAAGCAGATGTACTACTGCTACCAAACGGCAACCAGTTTTGGAACGGCGCTGGCCCTCAAACAATGAACTCTGCGGCCATGACTTGGGGTGGTATTGGACCGATGGCGATGTTTGGCCCGCACAGCCGTTATAGCATGGTCCTGTGGGCCTTCTTTATCGGCTTTCTCTTACCGGTTCCCTTTTGGGCTTTACACAAAAAGTACCCTAAAGCTGGTTTCCAGTATGTAAATATCCCTATGATTGCGTCTGGATACATGATTATGCCTGGTTCGACCACATCTTGGATCACATGCTCCTACATTATTGTTATCTATTCACAGTTTTATCTTAAGCGGCGATACACTGCATGGTTTGCAAAGCACAATTATCTAATTTCAGCTGCTTTAGATTCGGGCACATCCATTATGGTGTTTTTGCTATCTATGACCGTGCAAGGAGGCGGTAGTGGTGTCCCTTACCCTTTCCCTACATGGTGGGGTAATAGACAGGACCTTGCGGAAGCAGGGCTGTATCCGGATATGTGTTGTGCTAAATGTAGTTCTTAGTGTAATATTTTCATAAAGATATCCTTTTCATGATCGCTTTGCTCTCTTTTTCTTTTTCTTTCTTTAGAATCAATAAATAGAACCACTTTTACTTTGTTTCTACACAGAATTACTAGTTGCTTTTGAGCTTAAAGTAAAAGTTTATTTCAACTATATAGAAATATTTAAAGCGCCCTTTTCATAGATTCATTTGAAGTTTTTTTAGAGGATATTTCTTCCTGAGCCATTGTCTGATAGGTCCAAGAATAAAGAACCTTTCCCAGATATTTACAGCAAGCATATTGCCAATTGAATAGGCCCATAGCTGATACCTAAAATAACGAGGAAGCACATTATGTCCAAGAGGATTATTATATGGTTCAATATAAAAGTCAGGTCGTGGGTATCCAAGGGAGACAAGTACGTCAGGATTACCACAGTTGACTCTCATTAAGCAGCCAAATCTATTGGGATCTATGCAAGAGTAAATCATCATAACACAATTTTTCTGTTACTTGCTTTACCTGCGAGTTCCCAGTAACTAACAATAGCAACAAAAAGTGCCCATACAAATATCAAGAAGTAATTGCGATACCAGCTTCTTCTAAAGATATAGCCGTAGTTAAAGATGAACGCAGAGTTGACAAATTGATACAATGTGATGAACGTTAGGATATCAGCTTCAAAACTATCACCAAGTAGCCACCACTTGGAATTATCGATTGCACGGGCATCCCACTCATGGCAGCGGAAGAAGTCATCCTTTGTATATAACCATATGAAGGCTCCAATCAAGAACCAAGCATTTATCCAGAGTGTTCCTAGTACAGACAATAGGACTTCAGGACCCAAAATACGCGCTGTTGGTCTGTGACTTGACAACTTCCTAGCAGCACCTGCTTGGGTTACTGCAAAGGAACAAAACACGGTAATGAAAGCATCAATTAGGATAAAGTTCCATTGGGAAAACGACATTGTATAATAAAACGTGCAAAATTTGACAGTAGCCATGGTTTCACCATACATGATCAAGTACTTGTAACTTGCAAAAGAAGTGGCTAGTGCTGATCTTCCTTGTATGAGCAAGTCTACACAAGCTTGAACCGAACGACGCGGTGTACTGAAGGGTGAAACAACCGATGCCTCTGCCTCTGACATTGCAATACCCACATGGGCTGACCGAAGTGCGCCACAATCATTACCGCCATCACCACACATAGCCGTAATAGCTTTTTCCATAAAGAGTTCTACACAAGCCATCTTATCCACAGGTGTCATACGAGCAAAGATTCGAATGCGAAACAGATATTGGCGAATACTGCCTTTTTCTACCAACAGACGAAACGCGTTTCCTGTTAGAGCCAGCTCAACGTTACTGTTTGCTTCTAATTCTGTATCTATATTCTTTATCTGTTGTCCCGTTTCTGTATTTGTCCAAATAAGCGTATTCTCGTTTGAGTCATTCACTTCACCAAGAATTACCGGGGCCTGTGAAGGCACCAGGCCACACTGTTGGCCAATAAAGACACCAGTGTACGCATTATCACCTGTGATCATGACAGTTCGTACGTCTCCGTCTTTAAGCTGTTGAATAGCATCGGCTGTGTCTGGCTTTAGCTGGTTCTTGAGTAGTAACAGGCCCGCAAAATTCAGATTGGACTCTAGTTCGTCTCTTGTCCATTTGTTCCCAATTTCGGCTTCCTTTTTTTCATTTAGAATTCCTAGATCTCGATGAGCAATAGCGAGGACGTAGCATCCTTCCTTTGCCTTTTGAGCTGTCAAGGCATCAAAATCAGGCGGTATTTGGCAAGATTGACTAGCTATTCTTTCAAAAGACCCTTTACAGAACAAATGTACGTGTCCTGTCGACAGATCCTTAACGGCAACAGACATAGAGGCACGGGCATGTTGAAACTCAAATCGTTGAATGATCTTGAGTCGTGTTTGGTCGTTGTTCAAAGAAATATCATAGTCTTTATCGGAAACTAACGAAGCGCCTGTGGTCTCAAACGTGACAATGTCTACTGGATTTCCTATATACTGTTCACCCAACCGAGACACAGAATGACAGCTCGACAGACCGATCTTTAAAGCATCCGGAAGCGTATCAAATTGATCAGCAAAGTTTTGAAAGTAGGCGTCTTTGGAAGGATAAACACCGTAGTATTCGAGTCCCTCATTTGTCAATGTGCCTGTCTTATCAAAGCAAAACACTTGAACTTTTCCTGCCATGAGAATTCGAGGCAAGTCAACACAGAATACAGAACGTTTCTTTAACCTTCGTGACGCAACCGATTGTCCAACGACCAAGATGGCTATATGTGTAAATTGAGATTAGCAAAAATAAAATAAAATAAAAAGTCCATAGTATGATATCCAAACCTGGCAAAAGAGGATTCATCACCTGTGCTGCACAGATCGTTCCATAAAACCAAGCGGTCATTCCTTTGCCGCCCAACCACCAGACACCAAAGCAAAGTAGAACAAGAGCCCACACTAGCAGTAAACAAAACACGAGCTTTAGCTGTTCGTTAAAGATAAACGAAACAGGTTGGGGAAACAGTATACGCTGCACGAGCTGTCCTTTGTCTGTATCCGTTCGTGTTTTCAGGACGAGTGCCACAGGAAGATCACCTGAGGCAGTCCCGATGGCTTGCTTCACTGTGGTACCTGCAAACAAACTGTTGATTTTCCCAGAGGATTGTGCGTCAAATTTTGATACTGTCGTATCGCTACGAATAGGAAACTTTCGTATAGGCAAAGGCTCACCTACATGTCTATGTTAATTATCTTTTTCTTTAATAACTTTCTCATTAGAACTTACCTGTCAAAGAACTTTCGTCAACAATGATGTCTCCTTTTAGAATGACAGCATCTACAGGTACAGTGAGATGAGGAGTCACTTGAAAAACATCCCCTGGAACCAATTCGGCTGTGGATATTGTCTGCCATGTTTGATCTCTAAGGACCTCACAGGTGCCTACATGTTCAGCCATCTTCTTGACTCGTTTTTCTGATTTGAGACGCACAATGACTTTAATGATGGCAGCGAGTAAGATGACGCCAGTGTCGGATATACCGATTTGCCAATAAGCCAAGTAGAAATAGCACCACAGTATCATGAGTTGATAGATATAAAAGAACCCAGTCAATCTAGATGTGAATGAGATGAGCTGCTTTTGCAAAAAATAATGGCTTACTCTTGCCAACATGCTTCCAAAAAGCTGGGTACTTGGACTTTAATGAAATTTGGACCGATCAATTCAAGTCGCTGCTTGGCTGTCTCGCTATCTAATCCAGCAGCCATACCGAGTAAATCTACAGGGTTTAAACTGATTTGAACAACGGCAGGTGTGAACTGATTTAGATGTGTATTGAATGTGTATCGGGTTGATTGAAATTCAAAGTATTTGTTGCCCTGAGAGTCTCTTTGAACAGACACTGTCTTGGTCAAAGTATCAAAACCAAGTATCTCTCGCAAGAGAAATTCCAGACTTGCTAATCTTTGCTGTATACCGTGGCTCTCGTTCTCATCGCTCAACATCTTGATCACTTTGCGTGGCCTTTGAATTTCCACATGGTGACATTGATCTAACGAAGTCTGAATCCTAAAGTGGTTTCTAATTTTGGTTCGCATCACATTAATAGCCAAGTACCAGCTTGTGGCAAGAAACCAAGCCAAACAGAATGCTTTACTAGATAGCTCATAAGAGTCGTAAAACAATCCGTAGGGCACACCATTAACCTATAGATTTGATATAAGTTACAAGTAATATGAGAAGCAGTATACATACATAGCCATAATAATCCAGAGAAAGAATGAGTAGGGTAATGATCCAAAAGACAGAAATGATGGACATGTAAGCGACCATGATATATCCAACCCAGTCATCCTTATACCCTCGTTGTACAAGCTGTTCATCTTTTTCCTGTGTTGATTGTACATTTTTCTCCTTTGCTGATGGCTCTTCTGATACTTTTTCGTTTACAGGGCTGTCCTGTACACTTACACTGCTAAGTGAAACAGTATCACTGGATACTGTACTTGTGCGGCAAGCCTACAGAATAGGTAGCGGTTATCTATATGCATATAAACGCGCACTTTTTTTCGCTTACCCTTTCTCTAATGAGTTTGTACAGCATCCATATCGGCCAGAGTACAAAGAATCCCAAATGAATCGCTAGGTAACAAATCACCAATGGCGCTAATGATAGATGAGAATCAATCACCTGCTATACCCATTCTATGGCTTTTGGACAATACCTGGAGTTGGGAAATCCATTCCAGTGGGTGCACTACACACATTCCAAATAATCAAATTTTGTGCTCCTGTCTGAGTATGTGTATCTGCCCAGGTCATGGAGATCGGTTGATTACTCTTTAACACCAAAGAACAAGCTTCATAGGTCTGTGCGGTTGCATTCTCAGGGTGATAGTTGGGAATACTCGTCTTGATTTGCGTCATTCGATTGCAGGCCATTAACTGCACATGTGGGCTGGACGGACAAGAGCAAGGGTTGGTTGCTGCATTAGAAGCGCAGTCGGTCTGACAGGACCCGTCGATGCACAAAGATTGACCTGCAGGACATGATTGAGGACCAATTGTGGACGGGCAAAGAGAATGATCACTGACGCATAAAACGGGACATCCTACATCATTCTGTGTAACGGCTGGACACATAGTGCCATTATGATAATGATCATTTACTTTTTTTTATATAAAAGAGGTTAATAAACAAATAATAAACCATGCTTATGAGATCAACCTGTATTAAATTTTGGGATAGCGTATACGCCATACTGATATAATATGAATAGGATCAAAGTGGTGACGATCTTCATGAGGAGATACTATTCATATAATACAGTAAAAGAAGAAGGAAGGAAGAAAGAAAGAAAAAGAAAAAAGGGGAAAGAGAGAGAGATGAATGCAGTCCGATTTACACATTTTGTGTTCGAGATACTCATCGTTCCTGCACTAGTCGGACTCCAGATATCTAGGATTAACTCTTTGACTGCGCGCTTTGCTAAAATTATATCTCTTTAAATGAATTTATTATGTTACAAAAGGTATCTGTGTGAAACGTGTTTTATGCAGGGTCTGATCTAATTGTCTTTTGCAGTGGGTATGAGTTGTAATTCATCGTCTACTATTCGTCTCTTTCTTCTCTTTATATATTTCCGTAGGCAAACAGACAGAGAACAATAAAGTGTAGACAGTATTGAAAATGTATAGATAAATAACTCATTACGCTCTTGCTCTACAAATGTATCCATAGTATGCTCTACCTCTATGATTGTCTGTGTGGCTGTGTGTTTTATTTCTGTTGTTCGACTCACTGGATCTGATATGGTCATCGTAGGTGCTTCCATTGATGTTTCTATCTCTCTTGTTGTAGTTGTGATCGCCACTGTCTTTTTTAACTTGAACTCTGTTTCAGGTAACATATGAAAGTTGTCATAGTCGATCTATATACAAAGGATCAACCTTCTTGTGTTTTATCCACACTGGACAAACTTACGACAACCATGCCTTGGAACTTAAGTGTAGTAATTGGTTTATCAACAATATCCATCATCCAACCGACATGGACTGGCCATTGCTTTAGTTTGGAGTCTATATGCCCAATGACAGCATTTGAGTCGAGATCTACCTGATCAACTTCATCATCATCGTCGCATGCTACTGAAGTAAAGAGGTCTTGGTCAAATTCCTTAAATTCGCCTACGGTTCTGTTGGTATCTTTATCCTTTACAAGCATAACAATGCCTTGATAAGCAAATTTTCCTGTCAGCTGTATATTGACAAGAGAAGAAGACGATGTCCTGATGCTTACACCATAGCAATCGGAACAAGTGGACTTGGAGGGACCATGACCAATAGTGGCCATTTTGTTTCCACTTACACTACACTGTAAGACTGTCAATGACTGTAGACATCTTGTGACTACCACTTACTGTCCCTGGTGCACTAGCATAAGAATTGACATTGCTGAAAAGAACAAACAAAAGGATCCAAAAGAGCATCAAAGAAACAAAAGAAAAAAAGAAAGCACCAGCCCTTTCTATTAAAAGTCAGAAACCAAAAAAAAGGACCACCGGTGAAATTTACAGCCTCAACATACGAATGAGCAATGTCTGCATACTTGTAAAATGGCACACAGCACACAAATGTTTTAGCCTATTGAGGAGACTTTTTTATTTTTGGGAATCATTATATCTTGTTCCAACACGTCTTTGCTCTGCTTCAAGACGAGAGTATAACAGATAAAGGGCAATCTGGTTGCTTTCAGGAGTGCCTGTGATCGTGATGAGCCTTTCACGGCTATCGTCTCTAGGATCCGCAATTTTGATGTGGCTTCCACTTGTCTGTCTGATTTCATTGATTTTCATTCCGTTTCTACCAATAATACAGCCAACCTAAAATAGAAGAGAGAGAGAAAGCGATTAGAGAAAGTATATATATATATATATATTTTGGTTGGGTTACCATTTCGTTAGGTATATATATTTGCTGAGATTGTGTCGTATGTGGCATAAATCCAGGCATATTTCCCATTCCTATTCCTGACAGTCCAGGCATGATAGGTAATGGGTAGTCATTCTGTCTCCCATTAGACGTTCCAGGATAGCTAGAGGGATAATAGAGACCGTTGACAGACATGCCGTTGACAGGCAGCATACCAGCGTATCCCATCATGGCTACAGCAGCAGCAGAATTCATATTATTATCATGAGGACGACGTGATGTACTTCGTTGAGAACCTGAGCTGCTGTGATTACTATAGCTCTGGGCTCCACCAGGGATAGGTTTATAGAGTGTATAGCCCGTAGGTTGCGTAGTTTGTTCAATCAAAATATCCCCCACACGCTTGACTGCCTGTTCAATCATTTGTGGGGTGCCATGAATGGAGAGGACACGTTCGGAGGATAAAGGTAAAGGTTCCTCTGCTGCAGTAACACGAGCACCACTTGATTCTTGGATAGACTTTATGACAGAACCGCTTTTACCAATAATACAGCCCATACGATTAGAAAGAATGAGAATTTTGATGGTTATGTCCTGTTGTGGTGGAACATTCTGGTTCTCTTCTGCAAGCGCGCTTTCTTCAATAATCTTTTCTGCTACCAAAGCATAAGCCTACAATGACAGTTAATGAGAGACAAGAATGCATGTCGTGATTACCTTTGACACAGCCGAGACAGGGCCTATCACGGTCAGAATGCGTTCAACAGCACTAGGAATAATATCAGACACGTTCACACGAGCCATAGAGGATTCGCGAATCTTGCTGACGTTTTTACCGCCTCTTCCAATGATTAAGCCAGCATCTTTCATGCTGACGAGTGAACGAAGAGAGATGATGTTGGATTGACTTGATTTAGACTTAATATCCGGAGATTTTGATTTTGGAGAATCCTCACATGGCACGAAATGAGGGGCTTTTGTCTCAGGGTCAGGAATTGCTTGCCTTTTTGGGTGGCGGTCGTCTTGGTGATCACGTTCGTGTTCAGAGTCATATTCTTCCTCTAAACGAGGACGTTTAGACCTGTCGATTGTTTCGTTATCAGACATCTACATGAAAGAAGAAAAAGTATATAATGATGTATGTTCTTTTTTTGGATTACCTTGATGAGTTTAATAAAAACGATTCAGGGAGAAAGGTAAAAGGTAAAGGTGAGAATAGGTGTGAAGAATGGTTAGATTGGAAGAGGGAGAATAGAATCTGGGAATTGGAATAAGGAACATGTGTGTATATATGTGTGTGTATAGTAAAGAAAAAAGAATGAACAAGGCTATTTACTTGGGATATATATACTAGTATTTCTCTCTCTTTGTGTGTGTGTGTATGTGTGTGTGTAAGTGTGTGTAAGTGTATATGTCTCTAGAATATAGAAAGAGACAATAATTAGTTTAAAAAAGAAAAAAAGATAAAGAGATAAGCCACTTGCCTAGGTTGGATGTAGGATGATATCACGTACACGTGATAAAAAGACATACACAAACAAAGAGAGCTCAGACATCAAGTTTCAAATGGTTCAAGGCTCTTATTGAATGGGTTTTACTATTGCATATATTTTCATTGAAATAAAGAGTGAGAATAGATAATGGGGAGGGTGGGTTATTTTTTCTTTCTTTTTTACATATATTCAAAATTACAAAAATTAAAAAAATCTAAAAGTAGAAAGTAAGTTGCCTATTCCACATGTTCAACCGTGTACGACCATGCGATTAACGTTATGGCATCGGAAACAAATTATTTAAATGGAGAAATAGCAAATCCTTTTTTCTTTTTGTTTAAACTCACTTTTAAAAGAAGTTTATTGTTCAAATGTTGATCAAACAAAAAAAGATATTTAGAAATTACAAGATATACAAGATGTATAAAATATATAAAATATTCAATGAACAATAAAAGAGAGAGAAGAAAGGATTTGCTATATTCTTTATTTTTTTTTTTCCTTTTCATTTTATTTTTCCATGACAAAAAAAAAATACTAATTTTTATATTTTTTCTATAGCAATTTGACAGATCAAAATTATCGCCTTTTTTCTCATCATTTAATTCATGTCACAAAGTAAACAAAAAAAACAAGTAAAATTGGCATTGAAACCTTATCTTAATTTAGACAATCAACAATATCAACAATGGATGCCTCACAGTGAACCGACCAACTTATTCGAACCACCAACTATCATCGGTTTTAATCCACTTCGAGGCCAAGCAGGGGATCCATTTATGGTCAGTACGACTCTCAACAATTTGAATTCGACTCTTATCAAAATCGCCTTTGGTACTTGCATTGTTCCCACTCATTTTACTGTCAATTCAAATCAGTCCATCTCATTTCATTCTCAAGTACCTGTTTATCAAGCTACTTCAACGCCTGACCGCGAAAGAGTACCCATTTATTTGGTTATGATACGTGAAGGAACTGAAGATAACGTTGATGTCATTGACAGTTGGTTCGCTGGTTACTTTGCCTTTAGTAACGTTAGTAGTCATAGAAGAAGAACAGTTAGTCACGAATTTGATGTCAATGCTAAACGTAGTAAAACATCAGGTATATGCTCACATGCACTTTTCTTTTTCATTTCTAATTCTTATCTTTATGATACATAGACACATCACCTTATATGCCTTATCAACCTAATTATTTGCCTTATATGCCTTTATCTTCAAGAGTTGAAATGGACCCTACCAATATACTGAACTATCCTACCTACAGAACATCTGATCCCCAAGGATCTTCTACACCCACTTCATCAAGTCAATTGCAATTTGAACACCCTTCTTCTCAGTTCATGATGCCAATGCTACCAAACAGTGGCATTCAGATGCGACCTCCCAACATCATGCCTAACGCTCCTTCGCCCATCATGATCCCTTCACCTCATTTTGCACATTCATCTTCCTCTCATGCATCCATGTACTCTCCTCAACAAGCACATCCTATTCAGCCATTACCTACTTCACAATCACAATCACATCAAAACATCGTGCCGATCGTACCTGCACTCCCTCCACATATGCCTATCCCCGCAGGCAGTCGCTTTCCACCACCTGATCCCTTTGCCAATGTCCTGAGTAACGCGACTCTGTCGATTGAAGGTGACCTGAACGAGATGATGCAAGACTGGACAGAAGAAGAAGTCAGCCAACAGCGTCGGTTAGTCCAGTTTTGGAGAAAACAACAAGGCACTCAATCCATCTCTGTCAAGTTCAATGTCTATCGACGACGTAAACCCAAGGATCCTCCAGACTTTGTGATATCATGTATCTATTGGGCCGAACGTGGGGATTACTATGTCACATCTGTTGATTGTCTCTCTCTTCTCCAATACCTCATCGGTGTTGTCTTCACTGTTGAAGAAAAAAATCGTGTACGTCGCAACCTAGAAGGATTCGAACCAGAAACGATCAGTAAACATAAAGATGATACCGCAGAATTCTTTAGACTTGTCATGGGTTTTCCAAAACCAAAGCCTAGAAATATCGAAAAAGATCTTAAAGTATTCAAATGGGAAAGACTTAGCGAAGCTCTTCAAAAGATTGTCAGCAAGTTTACAGCTAGTTATAGTACAACTCAAAAGATCATTACAGATGATATATTTAATAATAACAACAATGGCAATGGCAATAATAGCAATATACTCTTTTAATATTAACACAATAATCATTATACAGTCATCATATAGTAATCATAATAATAGTAGTAGTAGTAGTAATATATAATATAGTAATAAACTAATCATTATAAGAGAGTCTAAATGATGCACCCTGATTTAATATTACATGCCAATGAATGGACCTTATCCGTAACAAGTGGAAACTGCTTTTGTGTGTATGTAAAGACTGTTATGCCAATTTTACTATATTTTACTCGACGATGAGATCATTGACAATGAAGCAATATGGCCATTTTGTGCATTGCTTTAAAGGTACCGATAAGCCGATTCAATTGATCAAAAACTTTACTAATCATAATCAAGATCGAACTTTATTCATTGTTAAAGGTAGACCTGATCTTCTTTAAGAGAAAGATGAGTCGCTCAATTTCTTGCATGACATAGTTTACAAAAAAGGAAATAGAACTTTCCACGCCTAAGACAGGTTTTGAAACTAAAATAATAATATGATGGCGCCATTTATACAATAAACTATAAGATCAAAGCAAAGCATTGGCCCAGAATTGGCTGAATTACACAAGTAGAAGCCAGTTCAGACTTGTTCTACTTGTAACTTTGCATAACATAGACAATGAACCCCAGTCTTTAGGAAACCCTTGATTTTTAAAAAACAATGCAAGATAAACCAATTTTATTATATACACATTAATGCAACAATAACAGCAATATAAATGACAAAATAATTACAAATCAGTAGGGATTTGGAAAGGCTTACCCTTTTCCCAATGATCGGCACCTTCTGCTACTGGATTACCTTTGATAACGTCCTTTCTTTCTGCACGCTTCTTTTCAGTAGAGATACCCATTTGTTTATCACGACGTTCCACTAACTCTGGCTTCACTTGACCATCAGCTGTAAAAGCCATCATGAGCTGAGGAGGGCCCATAGGAATTTTGGATGAGCAATTACCGTCGTCATCTACAGGCCAAAGTTGCCAAGTCTTACCATATGTGTTGACAAGAATCTCAAGAGGACCCTTTTCAATGGTGGAAGTAACCGCATCAGGCACCAGGCTCTTGGCATTCATACAAAGGAGACCACTTTCAACTTCGTACTTGTGAGAATGCCAGTATTTTTTCTCTTGTTCAGGAAGTGACTTGAAGAGAGCCTCAGAGATGATATATTCGACAGCAATCAATTTAGCATCTACAGAATCACTGTCATAGACAAGGCATTGGCGCCTGTCTTCATCAATCATATGGCAGTAGTGGTAGGCAATAACTTGACGGTTGGTGTCATTACAATAAGGATGAATACCACAGAAACTCTCGCAGATACCACCCATAGGCTTGAAACTTATCAAAGGGCTAGAAGCAAGTTCCATACCAGCTTTAAGAGTAGACGTCTTTCCTTGTTCACTGCACATAATATAAAATTAAATACAAAGAAAAAGATAAAAGTCCATAATGATATCTTTTATATATAAATAACAAACGATGTCAGTATTATGATGCATTGACGTAAGCTTTCGTCAACTTTGACACGATTTCCAAAATCTTGCCCGAGAATATCGGGTAACACCAGCTAGAATTGCCAGTTGGTAAACCCTCTCACCTACAAAGTGACACAATCAATAAACATGTGGATGTGGACGGCCTCCATAAAAACTGGTCAGTGGAACTTTTTTTTTTTTTTTGCACTAAATTTTTTTTTGGCTGCAGGCGATGCTACTTATAGCATCTTCGACCCCGAAGCCTCGGACGAGAATAAAGATCATACTCTGACATGGTTGCAAAAAATTGGCCTAGAACCTGTGACATTGGTCAATGGTGACCCTCTGGTTGCTGTCGCCATATCAATGGTAAAGATCAATAAGAAACCGTGGCGGTTTCTATCGTACTTCTACGTTATATCGAAGAAGACTACACCCTTTGGCGTAATATAATCAATATATATTTCGTATATAAGCCAAAGTCATCTTTTCTATTCGACACTAACATAATACCTCATACTAAGTCACAACACTGATTCATGGCATCTATAGTCTGTAATAGTTGATGACGCGCCATATTAATATAATCAATAGATGATGACAGCATTATTTTTGAAGGTCAATTTCTTTTTTTGCCAACAATCTCTTCCTTACTCTGTTTATAAAAGGATTACAGAAAGACCCATTCTATCTTGCTGTATTTCTAATCTTCCAAGTCAAAACAACTATTCATCCATAATATCACAGTTTCAACGATTGCCAACTGGCTTGGCAACCGAAATCAAATTTCTTTCCATGGCTATCGAAAATGAAGAGCACTTTGAAAGCATCAGCAGCGAATCGTACGGTCAATCTATTCCTCCATCCCGTACGGCCATTTTACATTTAACAAAGCAAATCATGCCCAAGCAACCGATCCCTGGAGTGACAGATACCATGTTTTTATCCGAACAAGAAGTATATGAAATTGTCCAGCAATATATGCAAAACGACACTTTGAAACAGGTAGACTTGGCAGAATGAATGAGCAAGGATGGACTTTGGGGTCCTGCGAAACGCAAATATATGAAAAAAAAAAAAAAAATTCGAAAACGCGGTCGTCTTTACACCGTCGTCAAGCTTGAGTATCGTGGTTTTACTTGGGGCAATATCAACCACACCCATCAATTTCGTGTCATGCTCAAAGCAATACATTCAAACATTTATACGATTGGATATGCAAGAAAAAGCCCAACGCCGGAAACGTTGTCCGCAAAGAGAAAAACAGTCAACCTTCAGATTTACAAGCTCAAGACAAGGCTCTTGTGCGAAGATGTGTTTGCATCGATTGATGTGTCGGCTTTCGATCCGATAGCTTCGCGTGATTATGAACGTCCAGAGCTGAATCTCGATTATTATAGTGGGGACACGCAAACCATAAGACAAAAAATAACGAAGTCAGAACGCAAGGTCAGACTCGTGACGACCGATTACCGTGGCCTGACGACTAACATTGGTGATCTGCACCATTTTTTCTGATTCAACAAAAACGTCGTTGAGCTCGTGGTCGATATTGGACACACCATGAAGGCTTACAGCAGATATGACATTTTGCACAACGACAGTGCTATCCAAATGATCAGTGGTCAAAGACCATTCGTGACAAACCTCAACCATACCCCAAGCACTCAACGCAGCAGATCTCTAAGAGCCACGCTATTAGTTGCCTTGATATGCACCGATGTCTGTTCATGCCTGAAACAATACGGGATTCATTGTCATTCCTTCTGAGTATGCTTCCTCTACGTCCTTCGGTTCCCCCAAACGTGGCCTTCATCTGGTTTCAACGATGGCCGATTATATGCTCCATACTATATGAATTAGATTAGCTACGCTATAACAAATTGATCTCTACTAGGCATACCCATGGTCAAAAGTTTCTTGTATGGTTAAATCAATTCCTTTAATTCCCCACCGGTAGCTTTATTTATCATTTTCCTTTTATATTTTTTACCCTTGTACCTATAAGGTGTTTTTTTTTTTTTTTTTTTTTCCAAGCGGATTGAACGGATTGAACGACGTTTATTATTTTATTTTTGCGCTCATTTGGACCACCAATAAACGAAAATGCGAAATTGATTTTGAT